GCCACTGGTCCCTTGCATATTTCTGCAAAGCCATTTACGTTGGTGCTTCTGCTTCTCCTCTGGGTCTTGAGTATCTTCAGTTTTTGACTGCCAAGACAAATACTAAAAGCCATTTATGTTGGTGCTTCTGCTTCTCCTCCAGGTCTTGAGTATCTTCAGTTTTTGACTGCCAAGACAAATACTCCTACAGCATCCCGAGGTGGGACTCAGTTTGAAAACTATGAATCTTACTATTCTGAGCCCAGAAATATAACTGCTTTAACAAGCTGTGCACCCCAACTCCTCTACACACTCAATGAAGAAATATGAGAGTCAGGATGGTTTCCATTCCCTCTAGCTGCAAAATCCCAAAGTCTTACAGAGGGAAAGAGGAAGGGGCAAGGTAAACAGATACTCAAGATACACATCTTACACCATGACTCCATCCAGGACAACCATCAGAAGTCACCATGTTCCAGTTCCCTAGGAAACCCAGAAACTCTGCAGTCTCAGATCCCAAAAATGAACCATCCAGATGAGGAACGAGACACTAATTTTCATTATCTGAACGAAGACGAGATCATGCAGATAATGTAGGGGACTTCCAACCAAAAAGGAAGACTCCAACCCAATTCTGACAACCCAACACTGTGAGAGGTAAGTCTGTAAGCTCTGTAGATAAGTCCTGGCATAGGGCATTGTACAGTAAGCACAAACAGATCTCATGACCACAGTGGGCTGTTACAGTAACAAATCTTTCCTTATCAGAAAAAGATCCCCAGAAAGATTAATTACAACACATACCAAGTCCAGGGAACACCAAGTGTTCAGATTTTTTTGGTTCATTCTGAGGTCAAGTGAAAACAGACATGAGGCAGTCCACAGTGGCCACAAAGATGGTTGGAAGTTTGCTCAGTTAGGGTTGGGGTTTTTTGTGTAAAGCCAGGTCAGAAACATATTATGGGCAAATCACAAAAATATATCTGTTCCTTATGGAGGGAATAGAGTTACAATACATGACCTGCTTGTTAAACCCAAGGCACAACATAATATTACAGGCAAAGCACAAAAATATATCTATTCCTTATGGAGGGAATAAAGAGTTACAATACGTGACCTGCTTGTTAAACCCAAGGCACAACATGGCAAATATCACTGTATTTCTACATTCTTCTTTACAAAGGAAAATCCTGAAACAGGAATCCAGTGCCTCAAATAGCAGGAGATACAGGTCGAAGAAAACTGCTACAGAATGCCTACATGGACAACCACATTTCATCTAGAAGACACTGCTTACCTTCAGAATGCCAACTACGGTGGGTCTGAATTAGAAGGAACATGCAAGGAACTGGCTTCACCTAACACAAAAACTCTATTTTTTTTCCCCAGAACCGACTGCAGCTTTGAGGGCAATAATCATAGAATTGTCTCGCTTGGAACGGACCTTTAAGATCATCTAGTCCAACCATCAACCTAATGAGCATTTTGAGAATGTACTGCCACTGAAACTACACCAACGTCAGTCCCAAAACAGTCTGAAACACGCTCTCCCTTCCAGAAAGAGTAACCACCTCTGTCAGAGCAAAGCAGAGTGGAACCTGAGGAAGATAGATGGCTGTACAATGTTAATTCTGTAGCTTGAGGGCAAGTGTGTACAAAGACTTAAAGCAGAGAGGAGAAAGAAAGAATGCAAACACTTTGGTTAACATTAAACTGAGAGTGCCATTGCTGCTCTGCTGTAAAGGGAAAAAAAAGTCCATACCAGTGGGGAGCACTACAAGGGAGCAATAATCTATGCAGCTCACTACCATATTTATCAGTTTATGTCTGAAATTAGCTTGTGCTAGGTATCCTTGGATAGAAGAGATTTTCAAACATCAGGTAGAAAAGGTAATTTGCCCATCCTGGGCTACCTGGAGTTTGAGTCCCGTGTCTATATAAACTACTCCGTAACTTTGTGATTGACAGGGGGAAAAAAGTTCTACCACGCAGTGTATGGAAAAATAAAATGTAGTTATTTTTAGTATTTGGCTCTAGATGGAAGGATGAAGTTAAAAATATCTTCAGGAAAAAGGCTGAAAAAAGTTTAGGGTGCGAGATAACCTTAGGCCAGCAAACTTGGGTCTCTACTGAGAGCCACCCCTGCCGTGGGCAGTAAGAGCCAACCACCACCCAACTATCTACTGACCTTTTGACAACACAGGGCATAAGTTTGACCCAAACAGAACTTTCAAAGGACATTTAGGATCAGGCAGACACACACAGGCACAAAAACCAAGAGGTTAGTGGGGCTTCAAAATGTCACAGGCATGAAAACCAAGAGGTTAGTGGGGCTTCAAAATGGCACATACATGAAAACATTACCTTCCAGTTGCACCCTACACACAGCTCATATTTAAATACTGACAATTGAGCAGTGAGGGCTTTGGGAGACATTTCAGATCAGGGGTATAGCCCTGGCACTCTTAGCTTCTCTCACCACTCTGGCCATGTAATCTCCCTCCTGGTGGCAGCTGGGAGGTGAAGGTGTTATTTGCTTTCATTTGGTGCTCCTTCTCACCGTGCTGGAAGCTGTAGCTTCTTTTGTTTTTAAAGGTGGGCCAAGGAAAGGGCAGGCATCACAAAAAAACTCTGTCAGGAAACATCATGGTGACAACAGCTATCATGCAGGAAAAAACAAGCTTTTCCTTTCTTGAAAACAAATACCACAAAAAGTATTCTTGCTCCTCCATCACGTGTTGTTGCTTAAAGCCAACTACTGATATAAAGCAACCTTGGAATATCTGACATATCCTGACCCACAATGCAACATCCCTCCCCCGGGAACCAACGCAAGCAACTCTTCTTCCACAAAGAAGTCACCATCACCTTGTTGACTACATAACTCCATAGTGATGGATCTCTTACAAGTAACACCCATGTGTTACAAACATCAGCGCGAACTTGAGAAACCGGATCCTCTTGTATTTCCATCTCCCCTGGACTCAGGATGCTATTTACTGGAGCTCAAGTGAAGACCTGCAATACCATTTTAGAGAAGATACTGAGACTTGAAGAACTGTTCCAATTTGGCACCAAACGCAAAACATTCTGAAACTCTGCACAAACAGAAAGGCCTGTTCTCTACCTAATTCTGGGATAATCTAATTTATGAGAATAGTCTATGACCAAAGCAGAGTTCAACAGCCAATGCTACATTTCTAGGAGCTGTGAGAACGACCACAGCTACACAACGGCGAGTCAACCACCTCCTCCCCCTGCCCACAGGACCCCATGATGCACCATGACTGCTGCCCACCAAGTACATTCTCCATTCCTGACATCTACCTCTGCTGTTCTGGGTTTGTTTTTTTGTTGGGTTTGGTTTTGGGGCTTTTTTTCCCCCTAAGGCAAGGCCCTCTGAGTCATCAGAACTAGAAATGGAAGAGAAGCCAATCCAGGGTGAGAAAGTAGAGGAAAAAAAGAATGTATGGTTCCCAGACTACTCTCTGTCACTGTCCAGGCTTGTTCCAGAGGTAGCCCTTAAGCAAACTTCAGAGACAGGTGAGTGGAAGACAGAAACTACTTCTGACAAATCATCTAGCTGCACGTACCAGGCACTTTTTTCTTCCAAACAGAGCTGTTTACTTATTCTTTCTAACCGAGGACAAAACCTCAAATCATCAAAGTTTCCAAAACAGCAGTACAGTACAATTTTTGATGAAAATTACCAAAATTTGCAAAAAACCGCAATGTTCCTTCAAACACGTGAAGGTCCTGAGCCCTCTGGATAAAACCAACACTTCCTTCTATTCTCTGAAGTGACAACATGAATGTTCTGCTAACACTGTAGTTTGTTCCTTAACAAGCTATGCTTGCTTTCATGGACATTCCAGTTTTATACCATCCACAGCACGTTTTCCACCTCTTTTCATCAAATACAACTTATTTTAAATCCCACCCACTACTAGAGGACAGTACAAGAGGAGAAGGAAAGAGTAACTTCAGTCCTCTACTGAAGAAACCACATTTATGTAAAATACCTATAAATATGGAACTCTTTCAATACTTATGAGAAGATACTGCTCTAGCTAATAAGCACTCTGATCAGCAGTTAATTATTTGTGTGTGCATATAGGAATATAAAGCCATCATATGGCTTATATCTATACATTCTCATGTGTTACATACACCTACACGTATATTTTACACACTTGCTTCAGCAACAAAACAGGCTGCTCAGAATGCCATTGTGGAAAATATTTGTAACAAAGCTTTTCTCCAGACCTGCTCCTTCCATCTTCTTGGCACCGAAGGCTGGAAAACTTTGTCTTGATACGTTCAAGTTTGCATTAATAGCAAACCAGAGACTTCAATTCTAGTTCAACTTCTGATTTAAAAAACAAGTTGTGTTCAGCTTCTTTGTGTATCAGACTCGAACATGGATTACAGAGATAGGTCTAACATTGTAAAGTCAATTTTGGCTAAACTGAAGTCATGCTCAAACCCAGAACATCTACAGAGTCTACTGAAAGTGACCGACTTTCATTGCAAAATAAATAAAAACAGGCATTTAATTAGTTAAAAAGATACTAACAATAATAATGTTCTTAGACAACAGCACCTGAGTGCACACAGACTACAGTGTATTTATCCAAACCCAGAGTTTGACCCTAAATCTTAATTGCCCTGCATCTAAGTATAGCTTAGCACTGTCTTGGAATAAAACTAGGCTAACACATCGTACAGGGAATAATTTACATATTTATTGCCTAAATAAAAAACATTTACAATTTTATAACAGGCTACAGTAAAATGCACTAGGTTTCTGTAGAAAAAAAGAAAATTTCTTTCCTACAAACATTCAAGTAGCCTCTAAGCTCCACCACAACATATAAACACATACTTTTTTGTAGCAGAAGAAAACAAACACAATTATATGTAATTTCGAAAAATCACTTGCTTGCCACCACACTGAAAAGGGAAATGTGTGCACAACCATAATAGTCGAAAAATAGTTACTGAATATTCAGGTTACTTACAGATTTGTCCAGCCTGCAAGATCTCCACTGTCCATAATAAGGTGATTTCCATCCAGGAGTCCGGGGGGACTGCTAGAGAAGGCAGGTGTTGGAGACTGGGAAGACAGAGAATCCATGCTCCCAGTTGGGGTGTCTTCTCTAGGAGAGCTGTGACTGTCAGCTAGAAAAGAGAGCACAGGTCAGAAGGATACTAAAAGAATCTTCTCATGAACCAAAGAAGCTGCTTTGGTAACAGTGTCCTGAAACATAGACAAGAAGAAACCATACTGTCCCATCTTTACAGGATATTTTGGAGGACAAGAAATCCCCCAGCATTTCCCAAAAGATACCATTGTACAATTTCCCCCACCCCTACCAACAAGTTATCTTCACAGCATAACGTATTCCCTGTCACCTTTTCAACTTGTGTTTTATGAGGACGAAACACTAGATTTTGGGGGCTTATTTTTAGACAAATGCATCACTTCAGATAAGAAAATAGTTTAGGCTAGATGCATTTGCATGTCTCTCTAAAAACACAGTCTCTAAAAATGATCTAATACACACTTGAGGGAATGATTGCTCTCAAGTACCATAAGCACGATCCGATCAAACATGAAACAATGAAATTTAAAAAGGTCAGAACAAGTAGGAGATCTCTAAAAAACATGCAATACCCAAGAACGTTACTTTTATTACTCCTTTTCAATAGCATTACTTTTCAGAGAACTCATTGTATTCTGGTCTATTTGTTTTCATAGGCTACTCTTAGAATATTACTCAGGACGCAACACATTGGGATATGATTGCTTAAGAAAACGTTAAAGGAACACCATTTCTAGTCCATGAGCACCAAAAAAAAGCTACCAATGTGGCACAGCCTTCATCACAAACCATGCTGACACATCCAGCTAAACAGCACGTTCTTCACCAAAAAGGTAACTTTCACTCACATCGCTTTTAAAGAATCACAGAGTCACATGGGGTTGGAAGGGACCTCTGGAGATCATCTAGTCCAACCCCCTGCCAAAGCAGGGCCACCCAGAGCAGGTCCACAGGAACGTGTCCAGGTGGGTTTGGAATGTCTCCAGAGAAGGAGACTCCACCACCTCCCTGGGCAGCCTCTGCCAGGGCTCTGCCACCCTCACAGCAAAGAAGTTCCTCCTCATCTTTAGGTGGAACTTCTTACAGGCAAGTATGTGCCCATTTCCTCTTGTCCTGTCCCTGGGCACCACTCAAAAAAAGACCATGTCATCCTGACACACACCCCCCTTTCAGTATTTATAAGCCTTGATCAGATTCCCCCTCAGCCTTCTCTTCTCCAGACTCAAAAGACCCAAGTCCCTCAGCCCCTCCTAGTAGGAGAGATGCTTCAGGCCCCTCATCATCTCTGTAGCCCTCTGCTGTCCCCTCTCCAGCAGTTCCCTGTCCTTCTGGAACTGGGGAGCCCAGAACTGGACCCAGTGCTCCAGATAGGGCCTCACCAGCGCAGAGCAGAGGGGCAGGATGACCTCCCTCAACCTGATGGTCACCCTCTTCTTGATGCCCCCCAGGATGCCATTGGGCTTCTTGGCCACAAGGACACATGGTCATCCTATTGTCCACCAGGACTCCCAGGTCTTTCTCCTCAGAGCTGCTCTCCAGCAGGTCAGCCCCCACCCTGTCCTGGTGCAGGGGGTTATTTCTCCCCAGGTGCAGCACCCACACTTGTCTTTTTCCTTTTTAATTTTTTATTTGAACAACAGTTGCTCACTTGTCTTTTTCATTTTTAATTTTTTATTTGAACAACAGTTGCTCATGTTATGAATTCTAAAGGAGGTGTATGAGGACGATTGCAAACCCTAAAATGCCCAGCAAAGCTAAGCCCACAGTCTCAAATGGGGCCTGTGGCTGTTTTCAGAATATTAATATGCAAAAGTAATAAGATTCATTTTCAGCCACCCTTTACAAGGCTCCCTGCATCCTTTCCTTTCCTTATCTGCCCATCCCACCCACTCCCACTCGTGAACACAGCCCACAGCTCTGCTAAACACCACCACCACCATGTACCTCTAGAGCAGATCAGACACCGCTGACCCCACAGTCTTTGGTTAAAAAGAGTTCTGCTCCTTTGGGGTCAAAAGCTTTGGGGGGGGAAAAAAAGAACAGCAAAGCCCTAACACAGCATCACAATAATATGATCAAAAGCTATTAAAATATTGTGCTTGGTTGATGAGTGATATCTCTTACATACAGTACTGTACAAGACACAGTCCTATACAATATTACTTTCTAATTCTAAACGAATTAGCATCAGTGCAGTGAAGAACTGAGCTTAATTCTATCACACCAAGCTAAGCACTACTGTTGCCATGATTTCTTTCATTTATTATTTTTTTCCTGCTTAATTAAAAACCTAACAACAACGAAAGGCGGGCGACGAAAAGCCACCTCAGCTGGATAAAATCCTTCTCACAACTTTCTTACTGCCTCAACCAGTTCGATTCTTTCTGCTTCAAAAAGTAGAAAGCTAACAAAGCACTCGCCCGCTTCCCCAGCCGTCTCATCCTCCTCCCCCCCCTCCTCTCCCAGCAGCTCTCAGAAAGAGATTTCCCTAGAGAGCAAAATGACATACAACTAAAAACACCACAATGATAAAAGTGATCATCTGGAAATTTCTCCCTAAAGCAGCTGCTAATTTAAGGATCTAAATTAGCCTGTAGTAATAAAGTATAATAAGCTCCGAGGAGGAGAACGTTAAGCTGGGAAGGTGAGTCACTGGCATCCCAGCCCGACCCTGCTCAGCCGGGCCACGACGCTGCCGCTCACGTTGGCGTGGCATGAGAATCGTAGGAGTGCCAGGTGAAAGCTAATTAATTACAGCTCATTTGCAGACGTATGTGTCACAATGATAAACACCTGAGAGATTAGACAGCAAGATGGCAATTTTACTTTATAAAGAAATTGAATTCCTTAAAACTAAATAGATTTAAGTCCTTTTAATTCACAGAGTCACATGGGGTTGGAAGGGACCGAAATAGATTTAAGTCCTTTTAATTGACAGAATGACATGGGGTTGGAAGAGACTTCTGGAGATCATCCAGTCCAACCCCCTGCCAAAGCAGGGCCACCCAGAGCAGGTCCCACAGGAACGTGTCCAGGCAGGTTTGAATGTCTCCAGAGAAGGAGACTCCACCACCTCCCTGGGCAGCCTCTGCCAGGGCTCTGCCACCCTCACAGCAAAGAAGTTCCTCCTCATGTTTAGGTGGAACTTCTTATAGTCAAGGTTGTGCCCATTTCCTTTTGTCCTGTCTCTGGGCACCACTGCAAATAGACTGGCCCCATCCTCTTGACTTCCTCCCTCTAAGTATTTATAAGCATTGATCAGATCCCCCCTCAGTCTTCTCTTCTCCAGACTCAAAAGACCCAAGTCCCTCAGCCTCTCCTTGTAAGGGAGATGCTCCAGGCCCCTCATCATCTTTGTAGCCCTCTGCTGTCCCCTCTCCAGCAGTTCCCTCTCCTTCTGAAACTGGGGAGCCCAGAACTGGTCCCAGTGCTCCAGATGGGGCCTCCCCAGGGCAGAGCAGAGAGGCAGTCGATCTGCTGGTCACACTCTTCTTGATGTACCCCAGGATGCCATTGGCCTTCTTGGCCACCAAGGGCACATGGTGATCCTGTTATCCACCAGGACTCATGGTCTTTCTCCTCAGAGGTGCTCTCCAGCAGGTCAGCCCCCAACCTGTACTGGTGCAGGGGGTATTTCTCCCCAGGTGACTAAAAAGACCCAAGTCCCTCAGCCTCTCCTCGTAAGGAAGATGCTCCAGGCCCCTCATCATCTTTGTAGCTCTAATTCATCACAATCTCTTTTCAAAGTGGAAGTATCAATGCAACCCAGGTTACCAGAATACATATACAGTATTAGAAGGCCACGTTTACCTCAACCATTCACTTAAACAGCAGTAGAAAGGAATATTAATCCATTCTTTAATATTATGAACATGACCAACGCACCACACCTCCCTACAGAAAGCAGAGGTCTTTCTGTTGAGTCGTTTCTCAGAGCACATAGAAAAGGTGAAAAAATGCTAAACACTTCAGTCACGCACAGTAGGGCCTACACTGGGGACTGCAGTACACAGGCAACTGCATTTGACGTTATCATAAATGAAACTGTGCCTTAAATCTTTCCTCAAATTTTACTCCTTCCTTCCTGAGCCAGTGTTTTCTCACAGCGTCGCACTCTCACGAATAAAGATTGGGGTTTGAATACTGAAAACAAATCCAGTATTAAAACAGGAAGACAGGGATTAAGTGAACACCCTCTAAAAACATGTTTAAAGATACTTCACATTTCTGATGTTTTCAATTATCTCTTTTTGTAAAGTAAAATACCTTTAGTCAGGAAAAGGCAATTCTGTATAACGGCAAAACCAGATGATCAACGATCATCCAGCACACTTTCATGAAAACAATATGTGCTGCTCAAAACCTAAGTCTTCGAAATACAGCATCATTGCTCTAATTTCTGCAGTAGAAATATTTCACCCTGCATGTCTGTGACAAAAAGTTCTGCTAACTTCAAAAATCACAGTAACTCCTGCACACGGCAGAGGCCATAGAACTGTATCTAGTTATCTCTCTATTAAGCTCAATAACCTGCCTTTGATTAATCTCGTGTTGGGCTAAACTATCTTCCAAAGAGTCTTTGTCTGAAGACATCATCAGATGATAAAGGTAATGAACTGATATTCCCTGATTAATGCACGTACCTTCACTTTGTTAGGCTTTCTTTTCAGGCATGACCCATGCAATATGCATTGCTAATAACTATAGGATCTCTCATATCCTTTTTTTTTTTGTGCTGTGTGAAAGTATTTAAACAATCTCCTTTGTAGGTTTAACAGTAAATCTCTTACTCTGAGAGATTTTGCAGTTTTGGAATCATGCACCGGTTTTATAAATCCGTTACGATTTCCCAGAGTTCTTTCTGAAGAGTGTACATCAGATCTGAATTCAAGATTTTTTTGCTGTGGTCCCACTAGTGCCACGTTGAGTGTTCATTCCACCACTTCCTCCTACCCATCAGTCCCCCATTTGTACATCCAAGGCTGAGTTTTATAAATCCGTTATGATTTCTCAGAGTTCTTTCTGAAGAGCGTACATCAGATCTGAATTCAAGACTTTTTGCTGTGGTCCCACTAG